TGTGTTAAGGTGAGTTGCTCATTTGCTGCATTAACTCGATCTTTTTTCTCTCTGTTGGGATTTTGCTTTGGATTCACATGAAACATTTGAGAGTCTCTAATATTTTCTGTGCTGTGAAATGCAGCGTATCACAGCTTCATCAGACTCTTATTAGTTCGGTCAGGGTCACTTGAGTTTAATTTCAGTGTCAAAGTGTTGCCTGGATACAGATTGAGCTTGCCGTCTTTGAACTTCAGTCACGTTTGAAATATCAAGTGACTGAATAATTATAATGCTCTGTCCTCTGAAGACTATCTGAAGATGAACACGTAAGGACCAGTTAAAAAAAACAACCTTGACTGAAAGATTGACATCATGTTCATTTAACACAAGAAATCTGAAGAGAGCAGAGGTCTGGAAAAAAAATTATTGATTTTAAAATTTTATTTTCAAAGAATGAATCTGGAGTATTACTGTTTTGTCTTTTAATGCATTGATGGTTCCATGAAGAGCCTTCAACATCAAGGTTCTTTATAGTAGAAAAAGGTTCTTTAGATTATTAAAATGTCCTTCACACTAAGAAAAGCGTGGCTCTTTTAAGAGCTGATTGCTGAAAGGTTCTTTGGGGAACCAAAAAAGGTTCTTCAATATGACATAACTGCCTAAATCTCCTTTTGAGCCAGTGGAAAAAGATCAGATGTAATACGTATAATACATACATATGCTTGCTGATCAGATGCTGATCTCCGAACTCCACGAGAGGCCATGAATTACAGGAGATGGATGTTTCTAGAGCTCGAGGCTTCAGCTGTTTCAGAAGAAACCTCGTTACTGTTTGACTTCAGCTCAGGCTGATTGATTAGATATTCTCTGTGATTCTGCTGCAGATTATGACTCGGGATTATGGGCTACAAAGTGTTTGAAAAAAATCAGCCTTCCTTTTTAAGTCTTTTCAGAGCAAACACATCAATCATCCAAAGACTGAGAAGCGTCCAGATCTCTTGAGCTCCTGCGGCTCCTGATGACTGAACTCATCTGTATTTTAAGCACACTTGCGTGTGTCTCAGGCGTTTAATCACCGTCTGAATTTACAGCTGCTTTTATTAGTCCTGTGCTGTTTTCAGCCAAATAAACTAGCCCGATCCGGTTTTAGAAGCTCACTGAAATCTTCAGATCTTAAAGGATTCCAATCAAGTACAAGATAAGGACAGACACCATGTGAAAGTTTGCGTTGTTGAACTTTATGTGCTCTGAAAGAGTCGTTCAGTCAACGTTAATCACATGCTAAAGCTATGCTTTGTTAGCTGGGAATGTGTTATTCTGTGTTTCTGCACCTCTGCAGTCACAGGACGGTCTGATCTTCATCTAGATGATGATTCTCTGCTCATCATGACTGACTGACTTTTGCTCACAGTGGAAGTTTCTGGAGTTCTTCAGGATCTGACAGCAAGACGGGTTTATCATGAATATTGTGAGCTCTTCAGTCTGACAGAATGGAGATCAGGCTCATGGTGAGTTTCATGGACGTGGCTGAAATGTGTGAGAAGCCGATTAACGTTTAGTGTCTCATGAGAGATGAAGCATCACGGCGCCCAGAATAACTGTTCATTACAGACTCTCATTTAAATAATGAATCACTTCTGAGTCAAACGAACTGATTGGTTATAATCAGTGCTGGGGAGTAACTAGTTACATGTAACGGAATTACGTAATTTAATTACAAAATAAAAGTAATTGTAATCAGTTACAGTTACTGAGAAAAAATGTGTAATTAAATTACAGTTACTTATGAAAATGTTAAGGATTACAAAGGGGGTTACATCTGCTTTTTCCACACACACTCCCACATACAGATTTAATTGATTTCTCTCATAAATTGCAATGACTGCTCTAAAATATGAAACACCAATGTTTCAGGAGTTTAGAACAAGCTTATTCGATAACTCTTTTATTTCCTATATGGGTTTATGTATAGCTAGCTATGCTTAATTTTTTAAAGATTAACTGTTTTTTTCCAAGGCAATGTTAGATTCCAGTGTTTACTGTCATAGCTATGTGAAGATTTGATTTCAAAAACAGTATCATAGCATAGCTGATAAAATATTTCTTGTTATGATTTTAAATATGTATTTAACCTCAGAATGATCTCAAAGTAAGTCTGATTTTGTGGTGGCTGTGCTTCAAAGGGGACATTGATCTTCCACAAGTTGGTATGATTCTTTAGGGTCTTCGTGAACTCAGTTAAAATTCCTCAGTGGTCATGTAAAAACAAACAACACCCTTTATACCTTGCTCTGTTCACAGCCACTCATTTTGAGGCATGTCCCTTTAAATACTAATGAGCTCTGCCCACCCGCCCATGTTTTTACCTTGCTCTGTTCACAGCGACTCATTTTGGGGCGTGTCCCTTTAAACGCTAATGAGCTCTGCTCACCCGCCCTTTTCTCGATTTGCAAATAATCATAAAAAAATATAAAGTGTCAGACTGACTTCTTCTGGAGGTGCAGCTGGATCACGAACAATGGGTACTGACCTATCCTCGAGTTTTAACTTTTTAACAAAACCTGCCTTGAATTGTCCCTCGTTCAGAAAGCAGTCTGGAGTAAAATTATTTGCGCAGACATAAACTAATTTAGGTGTATTCAGTGGCGCATTACCATTAAAAACAAAACTAATGCACTGCGTCTGATGATGGGAGAAAATTAAGATTCTTATGTTCTTCTACATCACAAAACTACAAAACACCTGCATTGCTCACAAGACATTGTCGCTACAGCTGCTGGAGCGCGGAGAGAATGATGGGCTTCGTACAACTGGCTGAGGGCGAAAACATGCTAATATTGGACAGTACGTCAGCGGTTGTGGGCGGGGCCTGCACAATATGACATCACACTGCTCAGAAAATCAAAACGGCTTGATAATTGAGACTGTTTAGGATTTTGGGGGATTAAAAAAGGGAGTGAATGGATTTTTATAATTGTAGGGTGGTTGCGTCCACACACTCCTAAGATACATTTATATGCAAACACCATGTAAAAGTGAATTTTGCATCCAATGTCTACTTTAAAATTGAAATGTAATCAAGTGATGAAGGATTTCGAAAGTTAATCCTGCATGGTGTAAATGTTTGAAAATGATTAACAGTTGCAAATAAACATTCATTAGAAATGTAGAAAAGTAATCGTAATCAAAAAGTTACATTACTTTAATAAAGTAATTGAAAAGTTACACTACTTATTACATTTTAAGTAGGAAGTAGGGTAATCTGTAACCTATTACATTTCCAAAGTAACCTTCCCAACACAACAGAAGCTAAACCACTTCAGCAACCTCAAGGGTCGTGAAACAACACGCACTGTATACATATCGAGCTTCATATCTTCACAGAGACTTGGAGTACTATTGGTAACAATTCAAATGTTGTCCCAAGCCCATAAGACTTGCTTTCTAGAGTGAAACACAAAAGGAGTTTTGAGTCATCTTCCCCTGGACCTCATGGGGAAAAAACAGCTTGAGCATCTAAATATCTTCTTTTGTGTTCTACTCAAGAAAGTGAGTCATATGAGTTCGGAGTGACCGAAGTTTTATTTAGCCCATTTCAGACACTTTTGGTTTCTTAAATAGCAATTCTGATGTCACAACTGGGATGTTAATGCCACAATGTAATCTTTTCCATCCAAGTTCAGTGCAACAGAACAGTGGAATTCAATATGGCATGAAAATACAAATCGTGAGTCTCACTTTCTGGCGCTCACAGAAAGGGTGAGGCAGTGATATTTGCATTTCTTGTATTTCCACTTTGGCTCTTTTGTGATTTGTTTTTACAGTAGGACATTATTTAGTGCTAAGAAATAAATCAATATAAAATCAAACTTTTAAATAGTCATATTGGTAGTAATTTTGTTGTGTGAGACCCCCCCCCCCCCCC